AAAAAATAAATAAATAAAATCTCATTAAAAAAAAAAAATATGGTGGGAAAAAATAGGTTAAAATTAAAATTTAAAAAATTACATTAAATTAAATCCCATAAAATAATACTAAAATATGGTGGAAAAAATTAAATTAAAACCCCATTAAAAATATGGTGAAAAAAATGTGTTACATTTTTTTTTAAATTACATTAAATTAAAATCCCACAAAAAATATTAATATATGGTGGAAAAAAAGATGTTAAAATTTAAAAACAATAACAAAAAAATGCTAATGCTTAAAAACAACTGCAAATATCTGTACAATAATAATGATGTTTTTGCAATATTTAAGTACTGTAAAGCAAATAAAAGTAAATTTTACAGTCACATACAGTGAATGAACACTTAACTATTTGTTTTAAAAAATGATGCTGTTAAGTCAATAATAATCATTTTGAAGGAGACCTTGTGCACAGTTACGGCCTGTTTTCCTTTTGTTTGTTTGTTTATTTTTCATCAACATATTATATTTTCTGTACTTTAACAAAACATTGAAAATCTGTAAAGTAACACGAAATAGTTTTTTTTTTAAACTACAGTTAAAAACCTTACACTGTACAGCTTTGGCCTTTTTTATAACATATAAATGAATCATTTTCTTCTTTTACAAGATGTTATCTGTAATTTAACTAATTGAGCAAAATCTGTAAAATAACTGTTATAAATGATTTACCATTTTTTTAATCCTTGTTTTACATGAATTTAAATAACTACAAAAAAGTAAAATGATAATATTTGTCCTGATTTAAATACAGTAAAAAAAAAAATAGTGACATTTTGTGCTTAAATGATGTTAAAAGAAAAAAAAAATCACTCTTTTCTTCACTGTTAATATTTTAAATAATAATTTTTCTGTGATTTTAATATTTAATTATTATCTGTATTTAAATAAAACATGTAAAATCTGTAAAATATCAGTAAACTGTTCTAAAAATTAGAAATTAAACTGTTGAAAAATGTTCTTTTTTTTTTTTTTACAGTGTACAGTCGGTGTGTTTAACCCTCGTAGTAGCAGCAGTTTATTCTCTGCTCTCTATAATCCAACTTTCATCTCAACACTTCGTGCGCTGCCTCTCCGCCGTGATGTTGTGAGCGTTGTGCGGACTCGTGTGAGCCGAGATAAAAATGGGTTTTGACTCAGCGGCCGTCTCCACGCCTCGACTCTCCTGCAGCTTCTGCTCTCCGGCCCTGCAGAGTCACCGGCTCCTTTCTGGGCCAAAACCTTGTTTAGTTTCAGCAACTTTCTCTCTTTGCTGAATAATTCAGCAGCACAGCTCCTCATCACTAATTCAGAGGAGGAAGAGTGTATCTCCACTTCAGGATGTGTGCGTGCATGTGTACGAGTCGGCCATATATCTGTGTCGTCCGCCCGTATGTGGGATGTCTGCAGAGCTGCCGTGTGCATCCGACAGGCTTCCCCTGTGTGCGTTTGTGGCCTTCGTTGGGCGAAAACACTGCGTCAGCCTGTGGGAACCTGAGCTCTGGGCTGGTGGCAGGGTGTGTTCTCCTCTTCAGGCCGAGCCGCATCCTGCTGCTCTCTGGTCACAACACATTTACAGAGTTTTGCACGAATAAATCTGCACTTTATGCTGCCTTCTTTGGTCTGGGTAGATGACTGACACACTTTAGTGACAAATATAAAGAAACGGCAACGACTGGGGCTGAAAAATGAAACAAATGCAAAGTGGCCAAAAGCTGCAGTTTCTTAAACGGCCACTAGAGGCGTTCTTTACAGCAGAAGTATAGCAGTTTAGAGCCTGATACTACGGTGGCCGACGGGGGGAAATGACGTGCATGTACACAAACGA